GTGGTGGTGGGCGCCTGTAATCTCAGCTACTAGGGAGGCTGAGGCAGAAGAATGGCGTGAACCCAGGAGGCGGAGCTTGCAGTGAGCCGAGATCGCGCCACTGCACTCCAGCCTGGGCGACAGAGCGAGACTCCATCTCAAAAAAAAAAAAAAAAAAAAAAAAATCCAGATGGATCAAAGTTTTCATTGTGAAAAAAATCATAAAAGTACTAGATTAAAATATAGCAGAACTTTTTTTTCATAATCTTGGGGGTGAGGAAAGCCTTTGTTAGCATGATAGTAGATCCAAGAACTATAAAAGCAAATACAGATAGATTTAAAAATTTAAATTTAAATCTAAAAATTAAAAACTCTGTATGATAAATGTGAACAAAATTGAAGAGAAACTGGGAGAAAATATTAGTCACTTATACACCAAAGTGTTAATATGCGTAATATATAAGGACTTGTCATTATAAATCAATACAAAAAGGCTTCTCAATTAAAAATGGGCAAAATACATAAATAGGCAATTCACAGAATACAAAATATCAATTAATGCATAAAAAGATAATCTTACAACCAGGAGGACATTTTTACCTATCAGATTAAAATTGCTTTAAAAAATGACCAGGGCCGGGCACGGTGGCTCAAGCCTGTAATCCCAGCACTTTGGGAGGCCGAGACGGGCGGATCACAAGGTCAGGAGATCGAGACCAGCCTGGCTAATACGGTGAAACCCCGTCTCTACTAAAAAATACAAAAAACTAGCTGGGTGAGGTGGCGGGCACCTGTAGTCCCAGCTACTCGGGAGGCTGAGGTAGGAGAATGGCGTAAACCCGGGAGGCGGAGCTTGCAGTGAGCTGAGATGCGGCCACTGCACTCCAGCCTGGCCGACAGAGCGAGACTCCGTCTCAAAAAATAAAATAAAATAAAATAAAATAAAAAATGACCAATACCAAGTATTTGAGAAGGAAGTAAAGGAACAGAGAAATAGTCACTCATATATACTTCCAGGAGTTATGCAAATTGTTTCACCCCTTTTGGAGTACTACTTAGTAATAACTATGAAAAATTTAAATGTAGGTGTTCTGTGATCCTACAAGTACACTTGTAGGAATTCGTTTTGTACATAAGTCAAATAATAAATATCCAATGATGGAAAAGAAAATGAAAACAACTTAAATAGGCCGGGCGCGGTGGCTCAAGCCTGTAATTCCAGCACTTTGGGAGGCCGAGACGGGCGGATCACAAGGTCAGGAGATCGAGACCATCCTGGCTAACACGGTGAAACCCCGTCTCTACTAAAAACACAAAAAATTAGCCGGGCGAGGTGGCGGCGCCTGTGGTCCCAGCTACTCGGGAGGCTGAGGCAGGAGAATGGCGGGAACCCGGGAGGCGGAGCTTGCAGTGAGCTGAGATCTGGCCACTGCACTCCAGCCTGGGCGACAGAGCGAGACTCCGTCTCAAAAAAAAAAAAAAAAGAAAACAACTTAAATATCCATCAATAGGGATTGCTTAAACAAATTAAAGAAACCCTAGCATGAAATATTACGCAGCCGTGAAAAATGAAGATACCTATGTATGTATATATTTTTGTATAATATGTACAACATGTATATATTTTGCATTATCATGGGAAAGTATCCACATTATATCAAGTGAGAAAAGCAACTTCTTAAAATTATGTTTGCATGTAGTTATGCCATATACACCATACATATGTGAATATATATACATATAAAATCAGTTTCATAAAAACAGAAAGGGAGATTTCATATTTATAGAAAAAGTAGGAGGTCTTTGGACTGAAGGGTTTTTTTTTTTTTTTAAACAGATTTTGCTCGTTGCCCAGGCTAGAGTGCAATGGCACAATCTCAGCTCACTGCAGCCCCTGTCTCCCGGGTTCAAGCAATTCTCCTACCTCAGCCTCCCAAGTAGCTTAGATTACAGGCACGCACCACCACACCCAGCTAATTTTTTATTTTTAGTTTTAGTAGAGACAAAGTTTCACCATGTTAATCAGGATGGTCTCGATCTCCTGACCTCAGGTGATCCACATGCCTCGGCCTCCCAAAGTGCTGGGATGACAGGCGTGAGCCACCACACTCGGCCTGGAACAAAGATTTACGGGGCACTAAAGATTTCTTCACTTTTGTATCATCTGAATTATTCACAATGAATATTACTTCAATCATTAAAGAAGCCACAAAAAATTAGGAGAAATACCTGGGCAATGATTTTAAAATACGATAATAGCACAGAAGACAGCTAGTGAGACACAGCCCCATATATTCACAGAAGTTCCAGCTGATACAGAACTTCTGGCAACCCATTGGCAACATACTCGAGGTCACAGAAATCCTCTCCCTGTGGCCCCATGACCTCACTGCCAGGATTTCACCTGGGAAATGGTTAGGCACTCATCCCTTTCATAAAAGGGAATGTTCCATACTATACATATATAAGTCAAAAGTGGCCAGGTGCGGTGGCTCACCCCTGTAATCCCAGCACTTTGGGAGGCCGAGGCGGGCAGATCACGAGGTCAGCAGATCGAGACCATCCCGGTTAACACGGTGAAACCCTGTCTCTACTAAAAATACAAAAATTAGCCGGGCGTGGTGGCAGGTGCCTATAGTCCCAGTTACTCAGGAGGCTGGGGTGGGAGAATGGCGTGAACCCGGGAGGTGCAGGTTGCAGTGAGCTGAGATCGCGCCACTGCACTCCAGCCTGGGCAACAGAGCGAAACTCCTTCTCTAAATAAATAAATAAATAGTCAAAAGCTAGAAACAACAGCGAAACGCCTTCTCTAAATAAATAAAATAAATAAATAGTCAAAAGCTAGAAACAACAGCCTGGGCAACAGAGCGAAACTCCTTCTCTAAATAAATAAATAAATAAATAGTCAAAAGCTAGGAACAACTAAAATGTCCAACAAGGGACTGGATAATATGTTGACTGAATATGCATAAGCTACGTGAAACAGCAAGACATCAGGTCGTTAAAGGTGACTTAATGATATGTTAAATAGCTGACACTCATTGCTATAAAAACGTCTTGCATCCATGGGCTGCATGCCGAGCCGCGGCAGGTAGGTCAAGTTCAGCCCTTTGGACGGCAATATGGCAACATGTGTGAGGAAATCAGGAAAATGGCTGGAGCCTTGGTTCCCATCATTGCCATTATGGGAATTTTACTTTGAGGAATAATCACCCCAAAGGGAGAGAGGAGGTGAGCACGGCCATGTTCATTATAACATTATTTGTAATTGGGATAACTGGTGAATAACCCGTCAGTGAAAAGCTTAAAGAAGAATCTAAATGGAGAATGGATTTGTAAATTACACCTTCTCAATGGCGTATCATTATCCTTAGTAATGATAAAAGCGTATGGGACAGTGACAATGCTCATGGCATAATGATGGCAAAAATGGTCTCTACATGGTGATTACAATGAAATAAACTTGTATTTGTTTAAAAGATTTGAAAAGAAATATAAAAACTAAAAACAATATGACTTCTAAGGATGGCCAAATTGTCAGTGACGGCTTTTATGTTTTTGACCCAAAATTTCTGACAACTAAACCTATAGATATGGGATATAGATTTAAAAAACCATAAAGAGGATGGGTGCAATGGCTCTCGCCTATAATCCCAACACTTTGGGAGGCCCAGGCGGGTGGATCACGCAGGAGTTCAAGACCAGCCTGGCCAGGATGGTGAAACCCCATCTCTACTAAACCTACAAAAATTAGCTGGGTGTGGTGGCAGATGCCTATAATCCCAGCTACTTGGGAGGCTGAGGCAGGAGAATCACTTGAACCTGGGTGGCAGAGGTTGCAGTAGAGATCATGCCACTGCACTCCAACCTGGGCGACAGAGTGAGACTCCATCTCAAAAAACAAAAAACATAAAGAAACACACCCAAGAATGACTGGCGAGTCTCTCTGAGCTGCAGAATTACAGAGAATTTGTCTTTTATTTCATACTTCTTTACACTTTCCAAATTATCCTTAATGATGAGCGTATGGTATTTCACTAAATTTTTTTCTGTTATAAAAATATATGGCTGGGCACGGTGGCTCAAGCCTGTAAATCCCAGCACTTTGGGAGACTGAGGTGGGCGGATCATGAGGTCAGGAATTCGAGACCAGCTTGGCCAATATGGTGAAACCCTGTCTCTACTAAAAATACAAAAATTAGCCGGGCATGGTGGCACACACCTGTAGTCCCATCTACTTGGGAGACTGAGGGAGAAGAATTGCTTGAACCTGGGAGGCAGAGGTTGCAGTGAGCTGAGAGCCTGCCATTGCATTCCAGCCTGGGAGACAGAGCGAGACTCTGTCTCAAAAAAAAAATATATATATATCTATATATGTATATATACACACACACACACACACACACACACACACACACATATATATAATTATTAAATTAGAAATAAAACTATGTTTTAAAAATATGATTAAAAGTCTCCCCTTGGGAGGCAGGGCCTGCAGTGAGCCAAGATCGCGCCACTGCCCTCCAGTCTGGGCGACAGAGCGAGACTGTGTCTCAAAAAAATAATAATAAAAAATCTCTCCTTGGTCATGAATAAATAGTGATGCTTAAGAACATGACATTTAATAGAACAATCACTTTGCAGGCCAGGCACGGGAGCTCACACCTGTAATCCCAACACTTTTGGAGGCCGATGGAGGAGGATCACATGAGGCCAGGTGTTTGAGACCAGCCTGGCCAACATGGTGAAACCCCACTTCTACCAAAAATACAAAAACTAGCTGGGAGTGGTGGCAGATGCCTGTAATCCCAGCTTCTTGGGAGGCTAATGTAGGAGAATCGCTTGAACCCTGGAGGTGGAGACTGCAGTAAGCTGAGATCACGCCACTGCACTCCAGCCTGGTAACAGAGCAAGATTCCGTCTCTAAATAAATAAATAAATAAAATAAAAGAACAATAGCTTTGTAAAGTGTAGATCCTGGAAACATAATAAACAGAAACAATAGGACATTAAAAATGTCTATAAATATGTGAAACATATTTATATTTATATCCATATTTATATGAAACATTTATTGTTTAAGCCAACTGCAGATTCTGATATTTGTACCTTAAAGTTTTAAAGAAAACTAAAAATGTTACTTTAAAGGGTTAATCTTTACAGCTGTCTTCCCCCACTGAATATTCAGGCTCCAATTTAAGGAAGGATGAATCAGTTTAAAAAGCTTGGAGAGGCCAGGCGCAGTGGCTCATGCATGTAATCCCAGCACTTTGAGAGGCCGAGGTGGGTGGATCATGAGGTCAGGAGATCGAGACCATCCTGGCTAACACGGTGAAACCTCGTCTCTACTAAAAATACAAAAAATTAGCTGGGCGAGGTGGTGGGCACCTGTAGTCCTAGCTACGCTGGAGGCTGAGGCAGGAGAATAGCGTGAACCCAGGAGGTAGAGCTTGCAGTGAGCTGAGATCGCGCCACTGTACTCCAGCCTGGGTGACAGAGCAAGACTCCATCTCAAAAAAAAAAAAAAAACAAAAGCCGGGCGTGGTGGCTCACACCTGTAATCCCAGCACTTTGGGAGGCCGAGACGGGCGGATCACGAGGTCAGGAGATTGAGACCATCCTGGCTAACATGGTGAAACCCCGTCTCTACTAAAAATACAAAAAATTAGCCGGGCGTGGTGGCGGGCACCTGTAGTCCCAGCTACTCGGGAGGCTGAGGCAGGAGAATGGCGTAAACCCGGGAGGCGGAGCTTGCAGTGAGCTGAGAATGCACCACTGCACTCCAGCCTGGGTGACAGAGTGAGACTCTGTCTCAAAAAAAAAAAAAAGCTTGGAGAGAGCTGTTGTTGGTGAAGGTCCCAGATGAAATGGCATCCCTTTTGGACCACCCCCTAACTATACCACGACCTAGGGACATGGCAGCATGGAGGAAATACGCAAGGGAAGCCCCTGGAATGATCAGAACCTGTCCCAGTTAGTGAAAAACTGTGCCACCTTCCCTCTAGGGAACAAAGGAACAAACCATCTCAACATATGGCGCCAGCATCCTTCTCTGGGGAGTTCCTAGTGTTGATGAAGAGCAGATTGCCAAAAGGCCGTTTATGCACCTGGATCCATCTGTTCCTGAAGGCAACATTTTTCTTAAGGTTCCTAGTGTTGATGAAAGTGGGATGGAACCCAACAGCAGGACAGCCGACTCATTACACACTCAGGTTGTCTCGTCAGCATGAGTTCTCTGATGATCGGCAAGCTGTGTGCCCCAAGCAAAGGCTTTCTCAAAATCATCACAGAGGTAGGCATCCTAGCCAGTGTGAAGCCTCCGGTGTTCAGTCAGGTGTGAACTCCAGCTGAAACCCTCTCCACACTCCTCACATGCGTAGCATTTACTGCCATTGTGGACTTTCTGATGTTGGAGAAGGTGTGAGATCTGGGTGTAGGTTCTCCCACAGTCGCTACACTTGTAAGGCTTCTCTCCAGTGTGAATCCTTTGGTGTTGGATTAAGTGGATGCTCTGGTTGAAGGCCTTCCCGCATTCCTTGCAGGTGTAGGGCTTCTCGCCGGTGTGAATCCTCTGATGTTGAGTGAGGGAGGAGTTGTGACTGAAGGTTTTCCCACACTCCTTACACTTATAGGGCTTCTCGCCAGTGTGGATCTTCTGGTGCTCAATGAGGTGCGTGCTCCGGCTGAAGGTTTTCCCACATTCGCTGCACTCGTAGGGCCTCTCTCCGGTGTGAATCCTCTGGTGTTGAATGAGGTGGGAGATCTGGGTGTAGGCTTTCCCACACACTTTACATTCGTAGGGTTTCTCCCCCGTGTGAATCCTCTGGTGGCGTGTGAGGGAGGAGTTCTGGCTGAAGGTTTTCCCACACTCGGTACATTTGTAGGGCTTCTCGCCGGTGTGGATGGTCTGGTGCTGAGTGAAGGATGAGGTGTGGCTGAAAGCCTTCCCACATTCATTGCATACGTAGGGCTTTTCCCCCACATGAGTGCTCTGGTGCCTCATGAGGTGGGAAATCTGCGTGTAAGCCTTCCCGCACTCGTGACACGCATAGGGCTTCTCGCCGGTGTGAATTCGCTGGTGCTGAGCCAGGGACGAGCTGTGGCTGAAGGCTTTGCCACACTCAGTGCACTCATAGGGTTTTTCTCCAGTGTGGACTCGCTGGTGCTGAGTCAGGGACGAGCTGTGGCTGAACGTTTTCCCACACTCGTTACATTTGTAGGGTTTCTCCCCGGTGTGGATGGTCTGGTGCTGGGTGAGGGAGGAGGTGTGACAGAAGGCCTTGCCGCACTCTCCGCATTCGTAGGGCTTCTCCCCCGTGTGGATTTTCTGGTGGCGGGTGAGATGGGAGACCTGCGAGTAGAACTTCCCACACTGGCCGCATTTGTAGGGCTTCTCGCCGGTGTGGCACCGCTGGTGTTTGATGAGGGATGAGCTCTGTGTGAAGGCCTTCCCGCAGTCCTTGCATTTGTAGGGCTTCTCTCCGGTGTGAATCCTCTGATGCTCGGTGAGCGAAGAGCTCTGAGTGAAGGTCTTGCCACATGCGTGGCAGGCGTAGGGCTTCTCGCCTGTGTGGATGATGTGGTGCTGAATGAAATACGAGCTGTTGCTGAACGCCTTCCCGCAGTCATGGCACTTGTAGGGCTTCTCCCCGGTGTGAATTCGCTGATGGAGAATATAGTCCGAATGGTAAATGAAGGCTTTCCCGCATTCCATGCAGTTCAATGGTTTCTTCTCCACGAAGGTCCTTTGGCATTTCAAGCTCTTCCAGGGCCTGCCCCACTTCCGGGGCCTGTCTCCACGGGGCACTCGTTGCTTCCTGATGAGGGCAGAGGGCTGCCAGAGGCTTCTCTCAAGCTCGTTACATCCAAGGCCTCTCTCCCCCAAGGTGTCTCCCTTGGAAGTAGCAAATAAACACGTCAGATGCGTCTCCTGCTTTCTTGGGTCCTCCAGTGGATAGTGACATGCCAAGGGTTTCCCCGCCTGGGCATCTGCAAGCACAGCCCTTGAAGGTCCCTCTACTGGGGAAGCTGAATCTTCAGAAATGCTCTTTTTTCGAGGTGTCTCTAGAATAGTCACAGAGTTCGTCTCCAAGTCTGAAAGAAATGGAAAATACCAACACCATCTGTCCCAGGACAAAGCAAGCTGATTACTTGGAAGTGGAAGTGTAAACCTAAAAAAAAAAAAAAAAAAAAAAGGTTTCAAACTTGATGTTGCCATTTTTTTTTTTTTTTTTTTTTTTTTTGGGGGAGAGTTTCTCTCTGTTGCCTAGGCTGGAGTGCAGTGGCGCCATCTCCACCTCCTGGGTTCAAGCAATTCTCCTGCCTCAGCCTCCCAAGTTGCTGGGACTACAGGCACCCGCCACCACGCCTGGCTAATTTTTTGTATTTTTAATAGAGATGGGGTTTCACCATATTGGCCAAGCTGGTCTCAAACTCTTTTTTTTTTTTTTTTTTTTGAGACGGAGTCTCGCTGTGTTGCCCAGGCTGGAGTGCAGTGGCCGGATCTCAGCTCACTGCAAGCTCTGCCTCCCGGGTTTTTACGCCATTCTCCTGCCTCAGCCTCCCGAGTAGCTGGGACTACAGGCGCCCGCCACCTCGCCTGGCTATTTTTTTGTATTTTTTAGTAGAGACGGGGTTTCACCGTGTTAGCCAGGATGGTCTCGATCTCCTGACCTCGTGATCCGCCCGTCTCGGCCTCCCAAAGTGCTGGGATTACAGGCTTGAGCCACCGCGCCCGGCCGGTCTCAAACTCTTGACCTCGTGATCCGCCCACCTCGGCCTCCCAAAGTGCTGGGATTACAGGCATGAGCCACAGCGCCCAGTCAATGTTGCTATTTTGAAAGGCATGGTGTACGTAGATTGATTCATGTTCTGACACGGAAGGATAGTCTCAATACACTCTAAAAATGAAGACAACCAAGTTGCAAACAGTTTATGTACACAGAGTTGCGTAGCCATGCTATAGAGTACATTTTTTAACAAATCAATATGAAAAATGATAGAAAAAAATCTAAGAAAATAGAGAGGCAAGAATATGAGTAGACAATTCATAGAAGAAAAGTAAGAGGCTGATAAAAACATGTTTAGATGCTGAACGTCAGCAATAGTCAAAACAATCAAATCATTAGGATGCTATTTTACCCATTTTAGATTGGAAAATATTAAAGATATCCAGTGTTGCCAAGGGAGCATGGCACAGATCTTCTCACATTATATTTGTAGGAATGTGCAAGAAAAGAGTGAACAAAAGGTCCATCTCACTCAGTGTTTTTTTTTTTTTTTTTTTTTTTTTTTTTTGAGACAGAGTCTCACTCTGTTGCCCAGGCTGGAGTACAATGGCATTATCTCAGCTCACTGCAACCTCCATCTCCCAGGTTCAAGCCATTCTCCTGCCTCAGCCTCCCAGGTAGCTGGGACTACAGGCATGTACCACCACACCTGGTAAATTTTTTTTTTTTTTTTTTGTATTTTTAATAGAGATGGGGTTTCACCATGCTGACCAGGCTGGTCTCGAACCCCTGACCTCAAGTCATTTGCCTCCCTCAGCCTCCCAAAGTGCTAGGATTACAGACATCAGCCACCGCGCCCAGCCCATCTCACTCAGTCTTTGTTTGTCTCTGCAGACATGGCAATGACCCTTGGCCAATCTCTGGGAACTAAAGTCCCGGGATGTTTACAAAGGTGCTGGGTCAGATGTTCTTCCATATGCTCAAGACCACGGGTCAAGATGTACTAGGTTGTCAGCATTGTTAACTGTCAATAGGAAGATGCATGATGGGCACCTGGTACCTGGATTGGGGTCCTCACCGTGGCTGGTCGTGTAGCAGGTATGTGCATACGTGACCAACTCTCTTCAAGAACTCTGGACTGTAAGACTCCAAGTGAGATTCCCTGGGTGGAGACACCTCATACGTGTGTCTGTGGTTTTGCATTGGTAGAAAAAAGCACATCCGTGTGACCTGCACAGGGAAAGGGAGGGCTGGAAACCTGTGTATGACCTCTCTTGCCTTTGTTAGTTCCTACTGTTCCTGTGTTACAAACTGCTGTAAACCGTCAATACAACTTGCCAAGTCATGTGACTCCTTCCAGAAAATTGCCAAACCAGTGGCTGGTTGTGGGACCCCCAAAACAGAGACATGACAACTAAATGCTATGTGAGATTCCTGAAATTATCCTCTTATCATTGGATTAGGCAATGGTATCTTAGATATGATGTCAAAATCACAAAGCAACACAAGCAAAATAGATAAATTGGACACTCAATATTAAAACCTAGGCCGGGCACATTGGCTCACACCTGTAATCCCAGCACTTTGGGAGGTCCAGGTGGGTGGATCGCTTGAGTTCAGGAGTTCAAGAACAGCCTGGGTAACATGGCTGAACCCTGTCTCTACCAAAAATACAAGAATTAGGTAGTGATGGCACATGCCTGTGGTCCCAGCTACTTGGGAGGCTGAGGTGGGAGGATCATCGAAGCCCTGGAGGTTGAGGCCACAGTGAGCCATGACTGCGCCACTGCACTCCAGCCTGGGTGACAGAGTGAGACCCTGTCTCAAAAATAACAATAATTTAAAAATGTAAACCTTTGTGCTTCAAAGACACTAACAAGAAGTAAAAAGACAACTAATAGAATGGGAGAAAATTTTTTCCAATCATATGTCTGATAAAGAACTTGTTTCTAGAATATATAAAGCATACTTACAACTCTCTCTCTCTCTCTATACACACACACGCGCACACACACACACACACACACACACATATATATATATATATTTTTTTTTTTTTTTTTGAGACAGAGTCTCGCTCTGTACCCCAGACTAGAGTGCAGTGGCACGATCCCGGGTCACTGCAACCTCTGCCTCCCAGGTTCAAGCGATTCTCCTGCCTCAGCCTCCCGAGGAGCTGGGATTACAGGCACCCGCCACCACACCTGGCTAATTTTTGTATTTTTAGTAGAAACGGGGTTTCACCATGTTGGCCAGGATGGGCTCAATCTCTTGACCTCATGATCTGCCCGCCTCAGTCTCCCAAAGTGCTGGGATTACAGGCGTGAGCTACCACACCCGGCCACAACTCAATATTTTTAAAAATTCAATTAAAAAAGGGCAAGGTTCTCAATAGTCATTTCTTTAAAGATACACGAATGGCCAATAAGTACATGAAAAGATACTCAAATCGGCCAGGCGCGGTGGCTCAAGCTGAATCCCAGCACTTTGGAGGCCGAGACGGGCGGATCACAAGGTCAGGAATGGACCACTGGCTAATACGGTGAAACCCGTCTCTACTAAAAAATACAAAAACTAGCCGGGGAGGTGGCGGCGCTGTAGTCCAGCTATCGGAGGAGGCAGGAGAAAGCGTAGACCGGACGAGCTGCATGAGCTGAATGCCACTGCACTCCAGCCTGGCGACAGAGCGAGACTCCGTCTCAAAAAAAAAAAAAAAAAAAAAAAAAAAAAAGATACTCAACAACATTAAACAACAAGGAAAATAAAATGAAAATCATGAGATTCCACTTCACACTCACTAGTTACATAATAAAAAAGACAGATAATAACAAGCATTGGTGAGGATGTGGAGAAATCAGAGCCTTCACACACTGCTGGTGGGAATGTAACATGGTACAGCCACTTTGGAAAATAGTCTGGCAGTTTCTCAAAAGGTTAAACATAGAATTACCCTATGATTCAACAATTCCACTCCTAGGTATCTACCCGAAAGAAATGAAAACATGCATTCACACAAAAACTTGTGCATGAATGTTCATAGAAGCATGATTCATAATAGCCAAAAAGAAGAAATAACTCAATGTTCACCAACTAATGAATAAACCAGTTGTGGCACATTCATACAATAAAATATTATTCAGCCATAAACAGGAATGAAGCTCTCATACATAATGCAATGTGAATGACTCTTAAAAATATTATGCTAGGCCGGGCGCAGTGGCTCATGCCTGTAATCCCAGCACTTTGGGAGGCTGAGGCGGGTGGATCACAAGGTCAGAAGTTCGAGACTAGCCTGGCCAACATGGTGAAATTCTGCCTTTACTAAAAATAAAAAAATTAGCCAGGTGTGGTGGCAGGCGCCCATAATCCCAGCTACTTGGGAGGCTGAAGCAGGAGAATTGCTTGAACCCGGGAGGCGGAGGTTGCAGTGAGCCGAGATAGCGCCACTGCACTCCAGCCTGGGTGACAGAGTGAGACTCCTTCTCAAAAAAAAAAAAAAAATCTATCTATCTATCTATCTATCTACGAAGAAAGAAAGAACATACTTGAAGGAATTCCATTAAAATGTCAAAAGTTAATTTTTGGGAGACATGAGGATTATGAGGGATTTTCATTCTTGCTTTATTCTTATTTAGATGTTCAAAGTTTCACTTATTCCTCCCAACCCTAGATACTCATGTCACCCCCTTTTCACAGACAAAAAAAATCAAAGCACAGAGAGGGTAAGTGACTTGCCCAAGGCCACACAGCCAGGAAGCAATCAGCTGGAATTTGAACCACACAACCCAACTCTAGAGCCCATGATGATCACCCATGTGTTCCACTGCCTCACCCCTGACTGAATCTCACTGACCATGAGAGATGGGGTGGGAAGAGGGCTTACACCTGCTGGATATCAGCACCCACCTGGACAGGTAACTCGCCAGGCCTCTCTCTCCTCCGGCCTCGGCTCTTCCCCTCGCTCCAGACGGGAGATCACGTCGGGTTTGGACCCAGGCAGCCCTGCCCCTGGGGAAAGATACAGGAGTTGGCTGTGGGTGCTAGGATCACAGGGAGGTCTGCAGGGAAGGTGCACGCATTGAGTGCCTAATGGTTAGAAGCACAAATGGCCAACGCAAGACTTATTTTTTGAGTGCTTAGCACCCTGCAGAGAGGCTGAGCCGACTTATTTGTTGCGTGCTTAGTACACTGCAGAGAGGCTGAGCTCTGACAAGGCTGTTTAAGGCTCCAGGTCTGTGCTGTTCGAGTTAACTGCACTGTGACAGCGTAAAAAACATTGTCTTCTATGTTTCGAAGACTTACTAAAGAAAAAAACCGTAAAATCTCTCAATCATTTGTTAATCGATTATGGTTAAATCTCTCAATCATTTGTTAATCGATTATGGTTTCAGTGTGTCAAGATGATACGATTTTAGATAGCTTGAAGTGAATAAAATGTATTATTAAAATTAATTTCATTTCCTCTTTTGTTTTAACATGACCACCAAAAAAATGTAAAATTACCTAAGTGGGTTTCTTATTTCTGATGGACAACTCTAGTTTAGATTTACTGGTGCGCAAAGCTTCCATCTCAAGGCTTCTAAATACATAAGTTAAAAACATACGCATTTTTTTTTTTTTTTGAGACAGGGTCTCGCTCTGTTGCCCGGGCTGGAGTGTGGTGGCACATTCAAGGCTCACTGCAGCCTCGACCTCCCGGGCTCAAGTGATCCTCCCACCTCAGCCTCCTGAATATCTGGGACTACAAGCATACACCACCATGCCTGGCTAATGTTCAAATTTTTTGTAGAGATGGGGTCTCACTCTGTTATCCAGGCTGATCTTGAATTTCTGGGCTCAAGTGATCCACTCACCCCGAATGTTTCCTTTTTTTTTGAGATGGAGTTTCATTCTTGTTGCCCAGGCTGGAGTACAATGGTGTGGTCTCAGCTCACTGCAACCTCCGCCTCCTGGGTTGAAGCGATTCTCCTGCCTCAGCCTTCCAAGTAGCTGGAATTACGGGTGCCCGCTACCATGCTCGGCTAATTTTTTATATTTTTAGTAGGAATGGGGTTTCACCATGTTGGCCAGGCTGGTCTTGAACTCTTGGCCTCAGGTGATCTGCCCACCTTGGCCTCCCAAAGTGCTGGGATTACAGGCATGAGCCACTGCACCCGGCCTGAACGTTTTCATTTTGATGAAACTGTCTTGAATCACTGTAGACAAACCTACCATCCCTGATTATAACATGAGATAATTACAACAATAGTTAGGGTGATACTAAAAAGCAAATATCTATTAAGGGCAGACTGCGTGCCAGGCATGTTTCTAAGCTGGTTAAATGTATTAGCTCATTTTCACCCTTCGGGCAGGAAACCGAGGCACAGTCTAGTGTTGTGTGAGCAGGAATGGAAGAAACACACAACACTGCAGGAAGTCACCGAGGGTGGAGAAATCAAAGGAAACTTCCTGGAGGAGGTGAGCCAAGAGGTGACTAGACTAGGGGTGAGGAGGAGACGAATTTTGGTTCAACAAACATACCCGGCCAGGCACAGTGGCTCACGCCTGTAATCCCAGCACTTAGGGAGGCTGAGGCGGGTGGATCATGAGGTCAGGAGTTCAAGACCAGCCTGGCCAAGATGATGAAACCCTGTCTCTACTAAAAATACAAAAATTAGCCGGGCATGGTGACGGGTGCCTGTAATCCCAGCTACTCGGGAAGCTGAGGCAGAGAATTGCTGGAACCCAGGAGGCGGAGGTTGCAGTAAGCCAAGATCGTGCCACTGCACTCTAGCCTGCGTGACAGAGCAAGACTCTGTCTAAAAACAAACAAACAAACAAAAACAAACATGCCCAAGGACCTCCCGGTCTCCCTGTGCCAGTCCCTGTGCCAGTCCCTGAGATAGAGAAATGATCTGGACACTCCCCTGTGCTTGAGGGGGTCTCAGGCTGAAGGGGGAGGCAGACCTGGACACAGTTACAATCCAGGGTGACTCCGAGATTCCTCTCCAACAAGGATCCCATCCTCCCTCTGCCTTAGGTGCCCAGGCCTGTGGTCACAGCCTTCATCTCCGATAATGACACCAATCTCCCCATCTCGGTGTCAGACACCCCCTCCCACCTCCCAGCCTCCCAGGGACTTTCTCCACTATACTTTATCTTATTATTTCAATTTTATTTTTTGAGACAGGATCTTGCTCTGTTGCCCAGGCTGGAGTGAAGTTGCACAGTCACCGCTCACTGCAGGCTTGGCCTCCTGGGCTCAAGCCGTCCTCCCACCTCAGCCTCCCGAGTGGCTGGGACTACAGGTGCCCACCACCACATCTGGCTAATTTTTAGTTTTTTGAAGAGACAAGGTCTTGCTATGTTGCCCAGGCTGGTCTCAAACTCCTGACCTGCTGAGCACCTCTCGGCCTGCACTGAGCTCAGCACATAACAGCCCTGCTGTGGTTAGAACCAAACAGCCTCCGACCTGGGTGCTGGCGCCCAAGAAGCCTAAGGACATTGCCGCTAAGGCTTTTTTTTTTTTTAAGACTGTCTCTCTCTCTTGTCCAGGCTGGAGTGCAGTGGCATGATCTCAGCTTACTGCAACCTCCACCTCTCGGGTTCAAGATTCTCCCACTTCAACCTCCCGAGTAGCAGGAACTATTTGAAAAGGGTAGAAACTGAGGATCCGAGAGGTGACAACGATTATCTGGGCCTCGAGATGGCGCTGCTGAGGGAATGAAGAGGACAACACAGCTGGAATGAGAGCCAGAGAGGCCGCAGTTAGACACGAAGTCTCAGCAGCCTGGGAATGGACGGCAGAGGCGCACTGCTCCCTCCTACCCAGAGGACCTCCTGGCTGCTGGTCCCAGGCCTGCGGGGGACGAATGTCCCAGTTGACCTCAAATACCTCTCAGATCCTCAGATCCTTCCTCCCTCCATTTTCTCTCCTCTCCTCTCTCCTCTCTTCTCCTTTCCTTCTTTCTTTTTTTTTTTTTTTTTTTTTTTTTGAGTCTGGAGTCTCTGTCACTCAGGCTGGAGTGCAGTGGCGTGATTTAGGCTCACTGCAACCTCCGCCTCCCGGATTCAAGCGATTCCCCTGCCTCAGCCTCCCGAGTAGCTGGGACTACAGGTGTGCACCACCACACCCGGCTAATTTTTCGTATTTTAATAGAGACGAGGTTTCACCATGTTGGCCAGGCTGGTCTCAAACTCCTGACCTCAAGTGATCTGCCCTCTTTGGCCTCCCAAAGTGCTGGGATTACAGGTGTGAGCCACCGCCCCCAGCCTCCACCAGGGGCTTCCTTGGAGCTTGGATCCAGAATTTGCAACAGACAACTGTATGTTTTCTCCCCACTCTCCAAAATGATCGTTTTGTCATTTCTTCCTGCTCTGTGCTACACGTCACCCTCTCTTTTCAGCTGTGGCCCTCCCTTGTCACTCAAAGAAGCCATTGGTGTAAGAAGCTCCACCTTCCCCACCATGCATCCGGGCAAGGAACCGACATCTCTATCCTACATCCCGCCTCTGCTCTGGGTTTCTTGGAAACCGTCCCTGCTCCAGGCCCGGGCCTGCCGTTCTGCTGGCGCCCGAGCTCACCCCACCTCACCCACTCAACAGGCAAGGCCTTGGCTCCTCCTATCAGCCCTGCTGTCTATGGAATTGCTAATTTCTCCTCTCCTATCCTGGGTTGAATGACGTTCCACAAAAATTACGCCCATCCAGAACAGCAGAACGTGCCCTTATTTGGAAATGGGGTCTTTCCTGATGTAATTAGCTAAGATGAAGTCCTACTGGATTAGGGCAAGTCCTAAATCCAGAGACTGGCGTCCTTTTTTTGAGACAGAGTCTTACTCTGTCACCCAGGCTAGAGTGTATGCTGCGATTTCAGCTCACTGCAGCCTCTGCCTCCTGGGTTCAAGTGATTCTTGTGCCTCAGCTTCCCCAGTAGCTGGGATTACAGGCGTGCGTCACCACGCCTCACTAATTTTTGTATTTTTAGTAGAGCTAGGGTTTCGCCATGTTGGCCAGGCTGGTCTCGAACTCCTGACCTCAAGTAAGCCTCCTGCCTCAGCCTCCCTGTCTCTACTAAAAATGCAAAAATTAGCCGGCATGGTGGTGCGTGCCTGTAATCCCACGACTCGGGAGGCTGAGACAGGAGAACAGCTTGAACTCAGGAGGAGGAGGTTGCAGTGAGCTGAGATCACGCTACTGCCCTTCTGCCTAGGTGACAGAGTGAGACTCCGTCTCAAAAAAAAAAAAAAGAAGCTGGGGGCACAGGCTGAAGAGTGTGTGGGATCCACATTTTACAGGACAGGCCAAGAGACTTGGGCCTTCCTAGCTGCTGGGACTCCAGGATCAGCTGGCAGAAAGCGAGGAACAGAGAGGCCAGGCACGAGGGACCAGCGAGAGGAGCACAGAGGCCCCCAGATGGCAGGGGATGGACGTGAATGAGAAGGGGGTGCCAGGGGGCATCAGAGAGAGTGCTGGGGGCATCAGAGAGGGATCCAGGGGGCATCAGGCCTCCCCCAGGGGGAGGGTAGGAGGAGGGGTCTCACCCAGGGAGAGAAGGTTCCGGTAGTTCTCTAGCATCACGTCTCGATACAGCTCCCTCTGGTCAGGTTCCAGCCAGCCCCACTCCTCCAGGGTGAAGTCCACGGCCACATCCTTGAAAGTCACTGATTCCTGCAAGGGCCAATTTCATTCCGTGGAGGGGCACGTCCTTCTGGAACTCGGGGGCAGAAGTGTCAGGGGTCAAGAGCCCACAACAGCCCCCTGGGCTGGAACATTCTGATTGTGCAGAATCAGGATGCCTGAATCCAACTGGCCTATGGGAACCCAACGGAGGCAGAAACTCCATAGGCACCTTGGTAGAAAGTAAACAAGGAGCCCTTTCACGTGACTCTTTACTGCCATCTGTTGGGAAGTCATTGTAATATGCCAATTAATTTAGCGTATGACAGTTTACCACACTGTCTGAAAACTGCTACCAGTGTAAGAGGTGTAAGCTGTGAGTCCTGCCCGGGATGAGGCATCCTTGTGCAGTGCATAACCTGCACAGCTCTAAGTGACAGTCCTAAGAAATACTTAAAGAAAAAACCGTCAAGCCGTTGTGTGCAGGAGATATTCGCAAGCCCTATTCTATCCCAGACCCCATCCCTGATCCTGACCCCCATTCCTGACTCCAGGGATGAGGCTCAGGGGTGAAGCAAAACCATCCAGTGCCCACTTTGCCTGGGACCCGAAAGGCTGCAGGGTTAGATGAAAGACTTTTAGACTGCATGACGCGGTCCCAGCTCAGAGCATTCTGCCTCTGGCCCCTGCTCTTCTGCACTGCCCAGCTCCCCTCTCCTCATGCCCCCTTTCCCAGAATTGGAAGAGTCAGGAGACCTTGAGATCATGAGCAGGGATGAAGAGGGCCCACTGGAGTCCACAAAGTCATCTTGGGGAAGAGAAAGCCCAGACTCACCTGGCCCTCGGCCATCAGGGTCCCATTGGCCATTGCTGGGTCCTGGGCATGTGCCTCTGGGAGAAGGGTCCAGGCCAGGGCCTGAAGAGCTGGAGGAGGAGACCACAGCAGAAAAGGGGTGATTCGTGACCCTGACAGACAGACGCTTTCCCCAAGACTCCTGGTCACAGAAGGCGCCACGGTCCCCTAAGAGTCAAAGCAAAGACCCAGGACAGGCTACCTGAGGCCCCCATTCCATACCAGTGACAACAGCCAGCAACCATGAGGCTGTCTCACCTTCCCAACACAAAAGCTCTCGGACACAGGAACTATGGTGATCCCTAAATGAGGACATTGAGGCACAAGACGTCAAGACTTGCTCAAGTTCATGGAGACAAAAAGTATCAGAGAAGTCTAGCCACAGGGTCACACCTATCTTTTTTCTTATCCTTTTTTTTTTTGAGATGGAGTCTCACTCAGTTGCCCAGGCTGGAGTGCAGTGGCACCATCTTGGCTCACTGCAACCTCCACCTCCCAGGATCAAGCAATTCTCTTGCCTCAGCTTCCTGAATAGCTGGGATTACAAGCACCCACCACCATGCCTGGCTAATGTTTACATTTTTAGTAGAGATGAGGTTTCACCATGTTGGCCAGGCTGGTCTCAAACTCCTGACCTCAGGTGATCCACCCACCTTGGCCTCCCAAAGTGCTGGGATTACAGGCGTGAGCCACCACAGCCTGCCTTATTTTATTTTTGAGACACAGTCTTGCTCTGTCGCCCAGGCTGGAGTGCAGTGAGGTGATCTTGGCTCACTGAAATTTCCACCTCCCGGGTTCAAGTGATTCTCGGGCCTCAGCCTCCTGAGTAGCTGGCGTTACAGGCACCCGCCACCATGCCTGGCTAATTTTTGTATTATTATCATTATTTTTATATGAGATGTAGTCTCGCTCTGTTACCTAGGCTGGAGTGCAGTGGCACGATCTTGGCTCACTGCAACCTCCACCTCCCAGCTTCAAGCAATTCTCCTGCCTCAGCCTCCTGAGTAGCTGGGATTACAGGTGCGCGCCATCACACCAGGCTAATTTTTTTGTATTTTTAGTAGAGATGGGGTTTCACCATGTTGGCCAGGCTGGTCTCGAACTCCTGACCTCAGGTTATCCACCCCCCTTGGCCTCCCAAAGTGCTGGGATTATAGGTGTGAGCCACTGCGCCCAGACCAGGGAATCTTTAGAGAGGAGAAACTTGGCAGATGCCACCTTACCCATGTGAGTGAGGCTGATGTGGTGTATGGTGGGACAAGCCGAGCCCAGGGTCCCCAATCTGATGAGGAGACAGCATCACTCCTAGGGTATCCCTGCCAAAAGCACGTGACCTAAATCTTATTATGAAGCAGCACCAGACAAACCCAGACCGAGGGACATTCTGCAAGTACATGGTCTGTAATCTTCAGAACTTCCAAGAGACTGAAAACCGGTTCCAGATTGAAGGAGGCCCAACAATGCGTGCAATGTGTGACCTAGGATTTCCTGTGGCCATTAAGGACATTATTGCAGCCAGCTGTAATCCCAGCACTTTGGGAGGCTGAAGTGGGAGGATGGCTTGAGCCCAGGAGTTTGAGACCAGCCCAGGCAACATAGTGAGACCCCGTTTCTACAAAAAAAAGTTAAAAAATTAGCCGGGCATGGTGGCATGTGCTTGTAATCCTGGCTACTCAGAAGACTGAAATGGGAAGATCGCTTGAGCCCAGGAGGTCGAGGCTGCAGTGAGCTATGATTGCACCACTGCACTCCAGCCTGGGTGACAGAGCAAGACCCTGTCTCAAAAAAAAAAAAAAAAAAAAAAAGAAAGAAAGAAAGAAAAAAAAAAGAAAGAAAAAGAAAAAAAAAGACAAAAAGACATTATTGGAAGAATCATCAAAAATTTGAATAAAGTCTATAGATTAGCTATTAGTATTACATCAATATTTCCTCATTGTGATCGTGGTGCTATGGTTATGTAAGAAAATGACCTTGTCTTTGGAAAACACAGAGATTCGCTAGGAGGGCTGGGGAGTGGGAGGACGCAGAGACCGAGAGAGAGCGACAGAGACCCACAGGGATGGGGACAGAGAGGCAGAGAGACGGGGCACAGAGATTCAGCGAAAGGGGGACAGGACCTGGGGCGGCAAGGGTGAGGGGAAGATCAGAGAGAGATAGGAGACTCAGAGAGAGAACAGATGCTCAAGATAAGGGGAGCCGAGACCGAGTCTGTGCCAGTGCAGTGCTGCTCTCAGGCTCTGGGGTCAGAATCTGGGTTGCAGCTCTACCAGCCTGAGAGAAATCGCGGAGTCTCCCCGAGTCTCAGTTTCTTCAGCTGCAAAGTGAGGAAAAATAGGTTCCCCTTCCTGGGAGAGCGCAGCAGTCCCAAGGTCCGCCGGACTCCTTGCAAACAGCAGGCGCCCAATTCCTGCGCGCTGAGCCGTCTGAGCCGCGCTGATACTAGGTGGGACTCAGGGAATGCCAAGAGGGGGCGGGGCGTCACCCACAGCGCCCTCCCCCCTTCCACCCAGACCCAACTCGGGCCCGCCCCCGGAGCTTCTGCTAGCCTGTCTGTCCCGGCCCGCACCCACCTGCTCCGGTCGGGTCCGCGAGGTCCGTGCGTTCAGGAGGATTTCGCTGGACAGCCAGGCCTTCCCTTCCTCCGACGGGCCCCGGAACGCGCCTGCGCGCTCGCTGTCTCGGAACTGTAAGTCCCGGTACTTTAAACTCGGCATCGCGACTGGACTACATTTCCCAGAAACAATTGAGGCTCAGGCTCCTCCCGGCCTAAGGGCTTCTGACTGCGGGGGAATGCTGGGAAATGGAGTCTGGGAGCAGGATGCGGAGCGGGAGTGAGGGGACTGTATTTGGATATATACACAATAGCTTTTGGAGGAAAACTGGTATTTGGGACATGCCTGACTGTACTGACACGCGAATATCCCTGTTTTAGGCAGAGGCGATGCCACAGTCCATTTAATCCAAATTTCTCCTACCATGGCTGAAGTATTCAGGATAGATAGAAGTTGGCCCCATGTAAACTGATGGTGAATGAATTGAACCACTGTTATTCAATTTCCCTGGGCATCTGCCTTCCTGTTTGCTCAGTTTCACCCATCACTTCTTAAAGGGCAGTGTGGTAAAGGCAATGGAGCCTATCCTGGGAGCTTGGAGATGTGTGTTCAGGAGTGCAAGGATGGTTTGATATTAGGACATTACACAATTTATCTTTTGACCTTTCCGAATATATCAATATGCAACCATGTCTATAGATACTAAAAAAACCTTTGGTAACATTCAGTAACCCTAGATGCTGAGAAAGCTTACAAAAAAAAAATTCTGTAACCAGTCATTTCTAGATAAGCTGAATAAATTGAGCATATATTTATATTGAACAACAATAGCGACAATGTTAAAGAATTATTGGCCTCTTCTTGTGTTTATGTCCATATAATCAAAACCTCATATCAGGCTTTATCATAAAACACTAAAAGAATTGCCAGGCTGGGTGCAGTGGTTCACACCTGAAATCCCAGCACTTTGGGATTTCAAAGAGGGAAGCTAAAGAGGGAGAATCACTTGCACTCAGAAGTTTGAGACCAGCCTGGGCAACATAGTGATACCCCCAACTCTACAGAATATAGAAAAGCTAGCCAAGCACAGTGGCGAGCATGTGTAGACCCAGCTACTCAGGAGGCTGAGGTAGGAGGATCAATTGAACACAGGATGGCAATGCTGCAGTGAGCTGTGATGGTGCCAGCCTGGGCAAGAGACCAAGACCCTGTCTCAAAAAAAAAAAAAAAAAAAAAAAAAGTAAACCATATATGTGCTCATGAGCAAAAGCTAGGTGGCCCATTGCCAGAATGAAATAATAATAGGTGTTACTTATTGACAACACGTTGTGAGCTTTACTAGTTGACTGAGCTGGCACCACCACCCTATGAAGAAGGCGTTGCTCTCCCTATTTTACAGACAAGGACACTGAGATAGAGGATTTATGTCATCCCCCCAAACTCCCAGAGCTAGTTGAGGATGGAGGCAGGATTTGAATCCAGGTCCAGCCCATATTTGCAACCACTTCATTTTACTGCTGCCAAGTTTGCTCCTTTTTCCTTGCATCCTGATAACCAAATGCTCCAAGCACAGGTTGTACTGTCAGCTGAGGCTCTAGAGTCAGGGTGGCATGGAGCAGAGCCTCAGCTAATCTATAATAGGCATGTCACATTGTGGAGACAAAGGTGACTCCATCTTGGATGGTAATCCGCCTTGTTGACTTCTGATTAATCCTAGTCCTGGGAATGCCTTCTGATTTCTACTTTACTTACTGTCTCTAGTGTAAGAACATGTCAACCCTGATGTTTTCACACTAATTATAGGCTATGACACAAACAGCATTCCTTTTTTTTTTTTTTTTTTCTGAGACGGAGTCTTGCTCTGTGCCCCAGGCTGGAGTGCAGTGGCGCGCTCTCGGCTCACTGCAAGCTCCGCCCCCGCCGGGTTCACGCCATTCTCCTCCCTCAGCCTCCCAAGTAGCTGGGACTACAGGCGCCCGCCACCTCGCCCGGCTACTTTTCTTGTATTTTAGTAGAGATGGGGTTTCACCGTGTTAGCCAGGATGGTCTCGATCTCCTGACCTCGTGATCCGCCCGTCTCGGCCTCCCAAAGTGCTGGGATTACAGGCTTGAGCCACTGCGCCCGGCCTCACAAACAGCATTCTTGCCTGTTCTGGAGGGTTGTCTTAACCCTTGTCTTGCTAAAGCAAGTATTCCCCTTCCGTATGTGAGATAAGCCTTGGGATTAGGGAGTAACTGTGTGGAGATAGATCTGTCCTGCTGCCACCCAAGACCCCATGCTTCCCTTTGTAAGTTCCCCAAATAAATCACCCCTTACCAACGAACTGGGTTTGTCTCCCTCTTTTTTGGTTTATTGGATCCTTCCACATTTGGGGATTATTTTGCATAAATAGTCCTTATATGGAACACACATGAACAAGGAGTAAGCCTTCATCACTATAAGCCATGAAGGAGGTTGTGGGGGTGTTACTGAAGCATAACTACTTATCCTGGCGGATACAACTGTCTCCAAAGGCTTTGATGAAGCTGAAATTTGATATTAAATACAAGTTATTATCAGAACTTTGCAAGTCATTAACTGCTCTGTGCCTCAGTTTCCTCATTGTACATGGGGCAATAATAAGTACCCTCTTTATCAGGTTATGAGATTTGAATAGGTAGATAGAAGTAAAGCCATTAGAACAGTATGTGACAGATAGAAAACACCATGTAAGTGTTTGCTATTATTAAAAACGCGTTAGGCTAGGCACGGTGGCTCAAGACGGAGTCTCACTCTATCGCCAAGCCGGAGTGCAGTGGCACGATCTCCGCTCACTGAAACCTCCGCCTCCCGGGTTCAAGCGATTTTCCTGCCTCAGCCTCCATAGACGCGCGCCACCACGCCCTGATAACTTTTGTATTTTTACTAGAGACGGGGTTTCACCAACACGCCCTGCTAACTTTTGTATTTTTACTAGAGACGGGGTTTCACCGTGTTGGCCAGGATGGTCTTGATCTCTTGACCTGGTGATCTGCCCACCTCAGCCTCCCAAAGTGCTGGGATTACAGGCGTGAGCCACCGCGCCCGGCCCCAACTGTGACTATTTGCTCTTCCTTCCACCTTTTCCCACGACTGCTTTCGGAAAACACCTACTTTTCTTACAAGAACAAGTTCTTACAGCCTCTCCTGAAGTAAACTTTCTCTGATTTCCACCGAGCTCAGCCGGAGCTGGCAACTCGCTCTCTTGGGTTCGCACAGGAACATTCCAGTATCTTAGATCCTATAGGGCTATGTGCTAACCGCCGTGTTGTAATTCTTTGTAACTGTCCGTCTCTCTCGCTCCAGTCTCATCACACTATAATTTATGTAAGTCTTAATTATCTGTTTATTCCGCACTTCTCCCAGGAAATTTCCAGGAATTTGAGGAAATGTCTGGACCTGCAGCATGAAGACGTTAAAACAAACCCGTAACACTGCTCACCACTGGCCAAGCAAAAAGTATTTTGGGACCACTAGTTTGCGACCCTCAAACTTGAGTTTTTCCCAGGTGCTGCAGTCCGGCTACCAGTTCACAGGTGCGCGTGAAGAACCTCTGACGCATCTGCGGTAGCCACGTCCCCGGCCAGCGCACAGGCGACGGTGACGTAGCGCGCACCAGGAAGAGAGTCGTCATGGCAACCAGCGTTCCGTCGCCCGGCCACGTCAGCAGGAGACTGGAGCCGGCTCCCTGCGGAGGCGCGGAGTCGAGAAAAAGAGGAGGGTGCAGTTCTCGGATATAGCGAGGCCCAGACATTAGGGCCTAGTTCCCGCGGACTTTCAACGGGGAGTAATAGCCAATGCCGCGTAGGACAGTGCGCCTGCGCAGGCTGAGTCCGTAAACTACCATTCCCAGAGTCCTTCCGGTTGCAGCCAGATCAATTTCAGAGGTTGACGCCAGTGCTCTACCTCTTCAAACCTGCTCATTCAAGGCGCACGTACTGCGCATGTGCTAAAATGGTATCTTGGCAACGGATGGCTGGAACAGAGAAGTCAAGGTTTCGACCAATCAGAAGTCGCGCTCGGCCGGGCGCGGTAGCTCGCGCCTGTAATCCCAGCATTTTGAGAGGCCGAGGAGGGCGGATAACTTGAGGTCTGGAGTTCGAGACCAGCCCGGCCAATATGGTGAAACCCCGTCTCTACTAAAAATACAAAAATTAGCTGGGCATGGTGGCACATGCCTGTAATTCCAGCTATTCCGGAGGCTGAGGCAGGAGAATAGCTTGAAACCGGGAGGCAGAGGTTGCAGTGAGCCGAGATCATGCCACTGCACTCCAACCTGGGCGACAGAGCAGGACTCCATCTCCAAAAAAAAAAAAAAAAAAGTATCCGAATCTAGTATTCAGGTGCACAGAGGGTGAATAATTGCAGTTCAGATAGAGAAGAAAACCTGCGCCTTCCACATTGACCACCGCTCTTCCTGTTTAACCATCCTCGAGGGTTACACTGAGTCATGTCCTTTCAGATGCATTTCCTTCCCAGAGGAGAAATGGTTGTCCCTTCAAACCCTTACAATATGCTGTCCATCCTTTTTGAAGGTCCAAGTCACTTCTACCTTGTATTAGGATAATGGGTGTCTACAGATGAGTGGGATCTGGTCCCAGCTTTTGAGGAGCATCCAGTCAGGTAGAGAAACACAGCTGGACGCCAACTAGGGGGAGGGTCCCCAGGAAACGGACAGAGACATTGATGGATTTGTCACCAATTTTATTAATTTTCCTTTCTCCTTATCCCCAAACCACCGTCCTACTGCAGCAGGAGTTTTCGGTTTTGTCTGTATGTACAAGCCCTGGTCAGAGAGAAAAAGCCTGTAGATTAGAATGAGAATTTCAGGCTCCTCCAGATCAAAGGACCCATAACTTCCCTCCAATCTTTGGCTTGATTTGGCTCATCCAGTGATGTCATGGGTATCTGGGCAGATTTTCAGGGTTCTCTGCCAATCGGAGTTGGTGAGGAGAGAGGAGAGAAAAGTTGGGACCAGGGGTGACGGTAAAATGTGGGAACAGAAAGAGTCTAAAAAGACAAGAGGAGACACAGGCAGAAATGGAGAGAGATAAGGTAGAGACAGGGTATAGTGGAAGCAGGTATAGTGGGCTACACTGTGTCACCCACCCCAAAGATATA